AAATTTTTTTTTCAAAATCTAGAGAAGGAATTGAATGGAGTAACGCCAGATAACATTTACAATATGGATGAAACAGGGTTTCATAATGACCCTGGAAAAAAAAAACTTATTTTTCGTCGATCCTCTCGCTATCCAGAACTTATAAGAAACACAACAAAAATTTGTTACACTGTTGTTTTTTGTGGAAATGCCTCAGGAAAACTAATTCCACCATTTTTCATTGTTAAAGGAAAACACAGTTGGTCTGACTGGCTTTTCAACGCACCAGAAGGATCAAGAATGGCAACTTCTTGCAGTGGCTGGATGGAAATTCAAATATTTGAAGAGTGGCTGTTAAATCACTTTGTTCCAAATATTATAAATAAGGAAGGTAAAAAAATTCTGATTTGCGATAATTTAAGTGCTCATATATCTTTAAAAGCCTTAAATATATGTGAAAACCTTTTACAACCTTTAGATGTTGGATATTTCTCGAGTTTAAAAGCTGATTGGAGGTCAGTTCTTAATCAATGGCGTAAAACATCCAGAGGAAAAAAGGTTAATAACCTGCCAAAAAATTTGTTTACGCAGCTCATTAAATCTACTCTTAATGTTGGGAAAGAAAATCTAGAACATAATCTTCAAGCAGGATTTAAGGCTACTGGCATATATCCATTTGTACCAGAACATGTTCTCACCAAATTACCCAGTTTTACAAATATAGATATTCAACTCAATATTGGAGAATCGTTTAGGAATTATGTTGATGATATTCATCTTAATTATGAAGTAAGCAAAAAATTTAAGTTACCAATAATAGCAGGGAAAAGTGTATCAGCCACTGAGGTAAAGCATACTATAAGGAAAGAGACAATAAAAAAAAAAAGTCAAGATAATATTCGAGCAAAGAAAAGAGGAAGACCACTTGGATCAAATAATATGGTTATGAAAATAAACAAAAAACTTAATTTAATATATAAATATTTACAAAGTTCAAGCATCGTAAATGTTAATCAAGTTATTGAAGACAATGAACAAGTTTTACCTGTATCTCAAAATGATGCAGTTTTTTCATTGGAGCAAATAAATAATCACAATGTACATGTTTTCCTTGATCATGATTATTTTGTAAAAGAGTTAGTTGTAACTCAAGACTAAAAGAATGAAACACTGTAATATTTCAATGGTGTTTATTTGTGGAGAACTATATAAAAATAATGTCTTAATTATTTTTTCTTTTATAACCTTAAAAATTATTTTGTGAATATTTTATTGAAAAACTTGTTTGTTTATTCTCGAAATAGTTTAACTTTTTAAAAAAATTAATGTAAACTAATACAAAGAAATTTAAACAACTTTTTTAAAAGTTGTTTAAATTTTTTTTTAAAGATTTAAAAGATTAAAATTGACATTCAGTTTAATAGAAAAAAGAGATCATCAGAACACCCTTTATGTAAAAATATTTGTTATCTAGTTAGTAAAACAATTTTTGTAGAGATAAACCTAGCGCAAACCGTTCAAAGTTACCCGTAATGACTGTAAATGCAATATTTACGGAGAGAAAAATATATTTATGTTTTCATTCAAGTATATAATTTTCATTATATCCCATCCTGTATATTTAGTAATCTTGGTTTTAGTTATAAGCTATTGGACTGAAAGAAAAAAATTCGAGAAGTTAAAATTATTTTATTTTAACTTTTATTTATTTATTTGTCCGAAATCAATCAAGGGGAAATGGCTATTGATGGAGCCTATAACTATGATTACATAGGCAAAACTGGGTTTTATTTTCCTCAGCTTATTGACGCTTTGCCCAAAACAGTTGTTCAAAGCAATTGCAAAAAACAAGGGTTGAACACTTCAGATAATGAACCTTCCAACACCACTGCTCTGGATAATAACCTCAATATTTCTTATCCAATTGATAATGAAATTATTGAATTTGAAGCTTTATCTGATAAATATTTAGATAAAAGTGATAAGAATATTGTAATAGATGAACTAGAGGTGATTTAGCATTTTGATCTTCTCAGCATAATATCACACAAGAATTCACTGATTTAATTTGCTGATCTATGACCAGAGCTGCTTAAATATTAATGCATCCTAAAATTTTATTTAAATTTGTGTTTTTTATGTATTTAAATAAAATTCATTTTATATATGTATTTTTTATGCTATATTTCATATGATCTCATCATCATTGTCATCATCCCCCACCCTTATTTTCCTTTATTCTATATATTTATTCAACCTTAATTATATTTCTTTATAATTTTCTTTATTTTTAATTTGGCGTTGAGTAAAACAAGCACTTTATTAAGTTTTAATTATTATTTGTTGACTAAAGTATACACTTATTAACTCCGTTAATGTTTAGCCTTAAAATTATTTTTACTGAACATCGTTACTGAATATCTCAAGGTATTATTTTGAATTTCATGTATACTTTTTAATGTATACTTTAAGGTGTTTGTAATATACCATTAAAATTTCAATAAATTATATTTTAAAATTAGACTTATGTGTTTAGAGTACAGAAGTAACCTGATGAAAATTATGATAGTGACTCACAAGATTTTAAAGAACATCAAAAATGAAAAAAGTTTTGTCTGCAAACACCTGTCTCTGTATTAAACAAAAGTAAAGCAAGATTGGAAAAAGTGATCATAATTACCTCTGTGATTAAGGTATTTTGACTACTAATTTGTAGCCTATTGCAAAACATTTTATGAATTATAACTAATGTTAATAAAAAAAATGAACTAAATTGTTTTACTAGTGGTAACAATTTTTTATAAGGTGAAGGGAGTAGCAGCAAAAAGGGAAGTAGCAAAAAAGTTGAATTGGACAGGGCAAGGTAATCTTCAAAAAAAGTCTTTCCGAATTCTTATATTTCGTCAAGTTATTGAAAGTAAGTTAATAAATATAATAATAAATAAATATAAATATTTAAAATTGTCTTTCATTGTTTTCTTCACTTTATTGTCATTTATTAAATTTATATATGTGTGTTTCTATGTGTGTGTGTGTGTGTGTTTACATATATATATATATATATATATATATATATATATATATATATATATATATATATATATATATAGTAAGTAAAATTAGTAAAAATTGATAAAAAAAGTAGTTTAATTGGACAATTTTATATAGTTTAGTGCAACTTCGCTGATTGCCAGCGTTGGCCCTAAATTGAATCAATGCTGGCTTGCCGCTAGCAAAACGTTGCTGCGCCAGTACTGGCTTGCGTATACTGGCCCTTTGAAAAACCAATGAGCAACCCGGCGCTCGGGTGCCAGGCCTGGTACAGCTCGGCAACCGAGCCTGGTTAGCTATTGGGCCAAATAGTGTCTGCTTACTGGGTAACAATTTGTAGAATGATCCTAATTCTATAAAATATTCACTTTTGTAATATTACGTTTATGCATTTTTTTAAGGTGTATAATAATGTAATGTTAAAACAATTTAAAATTTTTACAGACATACTCATAGTAAAGTTTAAATCTTCATTTATATTTTTAAAATCATGTACAACTTCTATATTTGATAACTTTTTGAATGAGGATGAGCCTGAAATATTTTCTGACTGACGGTGCATCAGTAATGAAAAAAATGGGACGAGAAATGGGAGTTACTTTGCTACTGCCATGGAATTCATCTTGCTGTATGTGATATTCTTTATAAGAAAAAATGCTTAGAAATAGAAACAACTCAAGAAGAAATAATTTGTGATGAGAATGGAAATGAAACATCTGAGTCCGACCCTGATGATGAAAAAGACACTGAAGAATGCTGGAATGAGGAAAGCATTAGCTCTGTTTCACAGAAAATCCAGTTTAATGAGGACTATGGCATCATCATATCGAAGGTTCGTAAAATAGTCAAACTTTTCAGAAAATCTCCACTTAAAAACGATTCCCTTCAAAATATTTGTAGAACAGATTTAGGAAAAGAACTTAAGCCTATTTTGGATACTAAGACAAGATGGAATTCTCTAATAAGTATGTTAAAACGATTTTTAAAGTTAAAAAATGTTTTTGCAAAGGCTCTTGTTGATATATCTAGAACAGATTTAATTTTAAAAGAAGAAGAAATAAAAAACATTTCTGATATTGTTCAGGCTCTACATGCTGTAGAGTTAAGTGTTATGGAACTAGGGAAAAGAGACTGTGATCTGATAAAATCTAATAAAATTATTTTGTTTTTAGAAAACACAATCTTAAAGAACAAAATACTAACATCGGTCAAAATTTATTTACTGTTGTCTCGGAGAGAATTGTCGAAAGAAGAAATTGTAATATTGCTGGTTTACTGTGCTTTTTACATAACCCAGCTGACTATAAATCAGACTCAGAATTTCCAGATAATCTTTTGAAATACCCACATAAAAATAAAATTGCTAAAACTGCTAGAGAAATATACCTAAGTTTATTTCTAAACGAGAAAGTAGAAGCAGCATATGAGTCTGAGTTAGAGTCTACTTGTAATACAGAACCATTAAGAAAAAAAACTAAAGCTGAAGAATTAGCAGAAATAATATCTAATACAACTTCAGCAGCAGGAAAAACTAAAGGGCTAACTTGTAAGTCTTTCCCTCAAGAAGTTTTGACTTGCATTAAACGTGAAATTGCAGTACTCGAAAGCACTGGAAACAAGCCAAGTTCTTTAGAAAAGATTTACAATGCCATGCTAAGTCTTCCCCGTCTTCTATAGAAGCAGAAAGAAGTTTTAGTGCAGCTGGTTTATTTGTCACTAATTTAAGAACTAGCTTAAATGATGACACTATTAATAATTTATGTTTTTTAAGATCATATTTGATGAAAAGAGAAATAAAATCATAAAAAATATATATTACTTTTTGTTAAGTTATAAACACATTTTTCCTAAAATTAATCGAAAATTTATCGATTAATTTTTGGAAATTTAATCGTTAATCGATTAATGTAAAAAACCAATTAATCTACCACCCCTATTGCGGAACTGCAAGCGAAAGAAAAAAGACAATATTCTGGTAATTTTTTATTTAAAATGACGCCTAGAAATATATTTTTTTAATGTATGATATATAAAAATTTTATTTAAAATAAATTAGAAATATAAACAAAGTATAATATACAACCTCCACAAGGAGGTACATTACTAGTGAAAAGTATCGTGTAACAACAGTACACCACAACACACCGCAAAGGTGCACATATAAGCTAACAATTACGAACGCCACGTACTTTCACATTACACCTTTACAAAGACTTAAAAATAGCCCAAAACAAATATACAAATAAATAAATAAAAAAAATACTTATAAAATAAAATTTGTGCTCAAAATAAATTATACAAATTAATAATTTTAAATGTGTCAACTTTTCAAGCAAACTAGATTTTTATGGTTTATCTATAAAACAATTAGGAATCAGTTATTTATTATAATTTGCTTTCATAATTTTGCTTCAATAGACTATTCTACAAAATAATTTAATGAATTGTAAATTTGAACCTAAAAAACGCGCGAATTATAAAACAATTTTATTAGATAAGAAATCAGACTCTGATTTGGGATTCGGACCTTTTGGAGCCATATCATTTATTTTTTTATTGTAGTTCAGCAAGGACAAATCCAGATTGCAAAAGTTTTTATGAGTAGCGTTTTTTTTATGTACAACTGAAGTGTTATTATTTTTCAAAGATTTCTGAAATATGTTATTATATGAAGTTCTTTCGTTATATGAAGAATCTAACGAATTAAATAAAAGATAACAATTTGATTGCTTTCTATGAGAACTTCTTAATGTATTATTAAATGAAATGTTTTTGTCGTGCTGCTCTCCATTCACTTTTTCTACAGAAAATGTCTGAACTCGTGGAACGATCGCGTTACCTGAATAATTGTCTTTCGGATATACTAAAGATATTCCACTATCATCTTCTGCTGGGTCCGTTGCGCTGTCTAGGGTCCAATCATCGCTATCATCTTTAGAACCACTTAGATAAGGCACGGTCTCATTTAAAAAATCATTAGACACAGGAACTGGAGAAAGTTTTTTTGTGTAACGAAGAGTGTATGTTTTCGGTAAACTATCAAGCAATTTTCTGTCCGTAAGTTCTTCCTTATTTTTGCGACATAACTTTTTAAAGAAATATAATAACACTAAAAAAATCACTAAAACAACAGCAGAAACAACTGTAATGATGATGACCGTAAAGTAAGAAGATTTTTTAGGAGATGATGCAAGCAAAGTTTTTTTTTGAACTGTTAAGCGAGCAGTCCTGCTAGCCGTTCCTAATTTATTTGAAGCTTTACACTCATAAAACCCTTCATCTTCATAATCAAAAGAGAAAATAATGAGCAATTGATTAGAAACTTTGATCTTCGATGATAAACCCTGACTTAACAGACTTTCATTCTTATACCACTTAAGTCTAGGTAGAGGATTGCCACTAACAATACAATCAAGAACAACTGTTTCACCTGGCCTCACTTCTTTGCTCTCCATAGGATGTGTAAATTTAGGCATCTCTAAAGAAATAAAATAAAACAGCTGAACTAACATCAAACTATACTGAAATACAATAAATAATAATAATACTAAATAAGCATTTCAAGTCTTTTTAAAGACTTTGTCATAATATGGAAATGTTAAAAATTGAATGACATGTATAAACCATTTTGCTTTAGTTTTATTAATTAGTAACATTAATTTTATTAGTTAATTAGATAAAAAAAAAAAAAAAAAAAAAACACGTGAAATGTGACGGATATTATTGACATTATGATCCTAGCTATTGATGAGATTGCCACGGACACACTTCATTTCACAATGAAGAGGGTGGAATTCATGGTGAAAACATAAATCATGATGGAGCTGGTATCATCAAACAGCAAGCGGAAATGACTTTATATAGAATGATGAATGGACATTCAAATTGACAATAAATATAAGGATTTTATATTATTATTTCTAAAAAAAAGTTTTAAAATAAGAGACAAAATAAGGAAAAAAAGTTCTGTTCTTCTGAAGTTGTGGTATTATTCTAAGGTAAGATAAAATTGAATAAGAATATCTTTACTTATTATGTTTTAACTGAAACAAGCTTTTTCTAAGAATAAAATACAAAAACTGTATTTAGAAAACTTTTGGAGGTTTTTGGAGTTAAAGTGCCAGAAAAATTTTTATTTTTAAATCTAATTCACTCCTAACTAGGCTGCAAGCAATCACTATAAAGTTGGGAGTTACTAAAAACAAAGAATAGAGTTGAAAAGCAAGGAAACGATTGACTGAAGTTTTAAAAGGTTGTAGGTTGTATTAGTCAGGAAAACATGAGGATGGGAGAGAGTTTCAAAGGATTGAAATGTGAGGAAAAAAACTAGAGGAATAAAACTTTGTAGAACATTCAAGGATGGATACAGTAAAAGAATGGAACTTTGCTGAATGACAAGACAAGCAAAAATGAGGTTTGGCTGATGGAACTAGTGATGATGGCTGAAGGAGCTATCATCAGGAGTAAGATAATGACGAGCATAATAAAGAGAAGCAACTTTAGCAAATGCTAATTTTGCGATTAATTGTATATATGGTTTCTATGAGAGGTCAGTAGTGAATGATAATCCAAGAAGACATAAAGAAGAGGACTCAGTGAGAGGGTTGCCATTCATTAATATAAAAATGTTGACAGTATTGGTAAAGTTGTTTGCAAATTACAATAAAATCAACTGCTGACAAGGATTTTTTAACAACTCAATTACAATTTTTTTAAATAATTCCTTACAACATTATACATTTGCTTCCAGATGATAATGTTATAAATGTTTCCATCAAGTCCAATAAAAAAAAAGATATATAAAAAAAAGCCTTTGGGTCTTTCTGTGCAGATGGTGCTTATTAAAAAACCATGCTAATTTTTTTGCAAACAAACGTTTAAAAAAAAAATTAACATGCTTTTTTGAATGGCAAAATTATCGGAAAAAAAAAATACTTGTAAAAACCTTCCAACATACAGGCGATATGGAAATTACTCTTATACAATAACAAGAGAGACAAGTTGAGAGAAACAAGTTATACATTAGTTTAGACTATTTTACATTTTTAAGTGTGATTTAAACAAAGGTAACAAAGAATAATATATATATATATATATATATATATATATATATATATATATATATATATATATATATATATTATATATTATAATATATATATATATATATATATATATATATATATATATATATATATATATATATATATATATATATATATATATATATATATATATATATATATATATATATATATATATATATATATGTATGTATATATATATATATATATGTATATATATATATATATATATATATATATATATATATATATATATACATGTATGTATGTATATATATATATATATATATATATATATATATATATATATATATATATATATATATATATATATATATATATATATATATATATATATATATATATATATATATATATATATATAATAAACCATATGATTTCATATTTGCACGATTCTTTTGCAGAAGAAAAACCTACATATTACTGTTGTGTTTGTTATGTAGAATAAATTTTTAGGAATGCCTTCTTGTTGAATATCAAGTAATAACAAATGTAAAAAAATTTCAAAAAAAATTAAGTTGTCAAGGCTGTGTATTTTTTTGAAGGTCATTAATTCATTTGCACCTGTAGTAATACATCAATAATTAAAGGTTTTTTAGCAAAGCCATTAATCAAAACTACTTGATTTTATGCTTTAAAGGCTCAGCTTCAAAACTAGCTGCACAAATATTAAATATAGGTACGAAAGAGTTAAAAGATCAAACGAGCATTCAAAAGAAGTTTGAAGCTAACTTACGCCAATATTATGGACTGAATTTACAGATTTAATAGGGGTATCAACATTCAAGAAAAAGAATATACAGGTAAGCAATTCTTTTCATAGTGTAGATAATAGTTGACAATTATTTGGCTATTCTAAAAATTTTTTTAAAGTATTGATAAGTTGAAAACTAATGTCGTCTTTTCTTACTTGATACAACTTGCTTCCTCTGCAAACAACATGATGACATAATTTCCCTCAACGCAGGAAATTACATCATTTAAATAAACCAAATATAATATTGAGAACAATTCATTAAGAAGTTTGTAATTCAGTTTGCAATTCATACATAATACAATAACAGCGCAACTAATATACATAATACAATAACAGCAAATATTAACTTAGAGTGTATGTTCACAGTATCAAAGGCTTTCTCAAAATCTATATAAATGATATAGAAAAAAATCTTTTGTCAAAATAATTGATTCAACTTAAAAAAGACAGCAACAACAAAACAACAAAAAATAAACTTAAAAGTCAACAATTCATTCATAGCAAACAAAGTTAATTCATTAACTCATTCAAAAATTAGTAAAACTTTTCAAAACGTCAGCTGTTCTTTCACTTCTTTTTTCCAAAATTTAACAGATTATTCCAAAGTTTTTCAAACAAATTATTCAAGTTTTTAAGTCTTACTTTTATTAATTTCATTAAAACCATTTATATTTTGCTGCTATTTTACTATTTAATATTATTATTTACTATTTATATTATATACTATTTATTACTATTTTTATTACTATTTATATTATACACTATTTATATACTATATATTATATACTATTTATATTTGTGCTGCCATTTTAATGTTTAATATAAAAAAATTTAAAAAAAGTTCTTTCAAAGAAATAACTTTGAACTTTTTCATCTTACACTATCTCATCTTTGAAATTTCTCTGTTTTATAAAATTTATAAATGATGTAAGAATGATTTTAAAGTTCATTTAAAAGTCATTGTTTTATCATTTATAAAAAATGCAAAAACATTTATTTGTAAAATCAAAAAGTTTAAAGCATTATACTCAACTGTTTTCTTGCCATTTTCTTTCAAGAGTAAATAATTTGATTTTTTTTTGTGATCTTGTCACAAACTTGTTTTGTAACTTAGCGATAAAAAGATTATGCTATAGCCTTTTTTTAATTTTTTTATCTCATGATTATAAAATATAAAAATGTATTCATATTTTATTTTATACTTTATTGGTAAAAGAACTTATACATCCTTTCTCAGGAGACATGCATTTGCACGCCTTATATGACCACCCATGCAATTTTTTTTAACTTGGCTGCTGTTTATTGCATATATTGATAATTAAGGTGTTATAAAAAATCTGCTGAGAAAACCAAACTAATTTAAAGAGAAAATAAACATAACATAAACCGAAAAGAGAAACGAACTCAACAAATGATAAAATAAATAAAGGATAAACCAAAGAAAATAAAAGCATAAAGCTTTTTTAATTTAAAAGTATCTCAATAAATGATTCTAATTTAATTAATTTAAAAGTATTTCAATAAATACTTTAAATCTAATAACTTTATCGATATCACCATGTTGATGTAGCGCATAGCTTGCTTATTGGTGTCCTTTATGAGGCACGACTGTGTATCGGCATATCCAACTAACAGATAATCATTTTCTTTTTGTTTTATTTGTTTTATTTGTAGATATTTAAAAATATCAAAGTTTCATAGTTTTAAATAATTAAGTTTCGAAGTAATTATGTTTGGATTAAATAACTTTGAAACTTTAATTATTTCTAAACTCTTTGCAATAAAAAAATTATAAATTAAAATAAAAACTTATATCAATTGTATGCTTCTCTGGTTTATTTTTTATTCATTTTATCATTCGCTAAGATTTTTATTTTTTTATTTTTTTTTATTTTCTCTTTCCAGTTTATAGTTTGTTTATTTTTAATTTTAGTTTAAGTTTACATGTATTTTTTTTTTTTTTTTAAGAAACAGGATTTTTTTAATGCATCTTTTAAACGAGATGTGAGCTGTGGCCAAGTTGCCAAAACAAAATATTATATACATGGTCATATAAGGCACGCGACTGCACGCATCTCTTGAGAAGGCTTGTTATATGAGAATTTTAATTATTTTTAATTACTTCAATTAGAGTTTAGGCAAAATTATTTGTCCCCCAAAACAGTATAGCACTGCCAAAAACAGTCTGGATACGCCACTGTATTATTGTAAAATATATTAAAAATTATTTAAAATTACACAATATATTATACTAAATATTCAGTGCAAGTACTAAATTATATATGAAGAGGTCTTTATTTAACATGTAATAAAAATAACATAGTTACCTAAAACAGTAAGTTCAATTGTTTTATTGGCAACTCCAACTAGATTTTTAGCAGAACATGAATATGTGCCGCTATCTTCAATTTTTAAATTTGTAATTCCAAACTTCTGGTCTTCATATAACACACGCTTATCTAATACAGCATGCATAACTTGATAATTTAATTTAGTAAGTGAGACAACAGGCATTGGTTGGCCTTCAGCTATGCATGGAATATAAACTGTTTCACCACTAAGTGCTGTAATTTGAGATTTTAAATCCTTTGATAGACGAGGAGGTTCTAAAATTTAATGATTTAATTATAATCCTGTCAATATTAAAACAAAATAAAAATAATATGTAATAAAATAATATATAATAATATCTTATTTACCAAAAACAGAAATATTGAATTTGATAGACATATCACTTCCATAAATATTTTTTGGCTGACATGAATAGGTACCCGAATCTGTATCAGCAAGGTTTTTAAGAAAAAGTATAGAAGTAGTTACATACTGAACTCTATCTACTATCTGTATTGCATTTGAATTTACTGTGTTATCAATAACTTGATTATTTTTTAACCAAACTATGTTCATGTTATCAATTAAAGACACAGCAGCACACTTTAAACTAATATTATCAGACCTAACTGCATAAGTAGAAGTTGGCTGAATTGTTAGTTTAGGTCTAATACTGGATAACTCATTAGAATCTAAAATAATACACAGAAATCAAAAGCAGAAAGTTTGAAAAAAAATTTGAACATAATATATAAAACAAAAATAAATATATCAAAAGAATATGATAAAATTGACTTAAAAAGTATATAGACAAGATTAAAACAAATTAAATAACTAAAAAACTTTTATTTAAAGTGAAACTAATGACAGGGTCACTAGTTGTCATAGTTCAAAGTCTCTATTTAAAGGAGTTCCGTTTTGAAACTTTTTATTAATATTAGGTATTTATAGCAGGTATTTTGATTTTAATAATTTGTTCATTAGTTTACTTACAAACTAATCGTTAAAATCGAAATACCTGCTAATGATCTTTAAACCACAGTTCAATTCATTTTTAATTATGGAAATATATGCTTGTCTGCAAAGTAGATGACTAATCTGCAAACCTAATGTAAGTAAAATAGTTCAGCTAAAATGTTTAAAAACTAGTAGAAAACGTTAATTGAAAAAAAAATCTACAAGTAGAAAGCTATAAAACAACCAAAAAAAGTCATTTACTGAAAGAAAAAAAAAAGTATTAGTTATGTAAACAGTATTTTTTTACTGTAAAAACGTTTTAAAATAAAATTTCACAACTTCAAGTAGATTAAATAAGTAATACTAATTTTATAAATTAAATTTGATATAATATATTCTTACACAGACAAATAGTTTATACTTTGTTAAGATTTTAATTTAGTATAAATAATTAATTTAGTATAAATAATTAATCTAGTATAAATAATTAATTTAGTATAAATAATTAATTTAGTATAAATAATTTAATTGTATGTACATAAATTATCAAGTCTGCAAATTGCAGTGTATATTATAAAGACTCTTAAAACCAAGAAAAAATGGAGAAGGTGAGCTTCAACTAAAACAGAAATTTTTGTTTTATTATTATGCATTTATTATTTAGTTTTAATCAAAAAAATTTAGCATAAACATTTTTTTAAAACATTTTCTTTAATATGAACACAACTTGTCTCCGCACTCAGTTATCCCTTGAAGGAATAAAAGTTTAAAAGCCTAAAAAACAAAAAAATATAGCAAAAAAATTTGCTAAAAGTATAATCTTTTTGTACTAAAAAGTAGAAAATAAACTTTTTAATTTAAATTTAATAGTTCCATAAACTAAAGATTGACAGGTCTGCGCAATGTTTATTTAGAAACATACCTGTAAATCTCTAGTTGACGGAACTATTAAATTTAAATTAAAATTTTATACTAATGAAACAGAGTATTTGCTGATTAAAGGAGCAGAATATTTTTCTTTTAAAAGATAAAATTTTTTATATAAAAGTAAAATAACATAAAGTAAAATTATTTCATTTGCATTGCAACCGCATCCTCTCACAGACATAGTATATTTTTATATTAATATTAAACAAAGTTAACATAACTTTGTAAGTTACTTTTTCAATATTATTAAAAAAAAAAAAAAAAAAAGTAATTAAATTTTTAAAAAGAAATACAAACCCACAAGCAATCTTAGCCGATTTTAAAAATAAAAAAATTCATTTTTAAAAGAGAAAAAAGTAAATTAAAAAAAATTACAAACCCACAAGCAATATTAGCCTATTTTAAAAATGAAAAGATTTGTTACTTAATAATTATTGCTATTAAAAACAAACTGGCAAGCAATTTAGTAGCAAATTTCTCTATAAAATGTTTATTTTTTAGAGAGTCATGGACAACAATAAAAGTTAGGAAAAAAATTATATAAGTGAAAGAAAATATTATAAAATATTAAATTTTTTAGCAAATGTTATTGCTATATTTTATTTTATTTTTTTTAGTCTTTACAGAGAGTCACGATATTTAGCAATGTCAAATTAAATCAAGCTTTTTATCCTTATTAAAGAAACGGAGTATTTTCTGATTAAAGGGGATGACTGAATAAGCGTGAATTTCATAAGTGCGATCTGGCATAAGTGCAAATGGCGTAAGTACGAACTGGCATATATGCAAATTGGCATAAGTGCGAACTGGTATAAGTCCAAAGCAGTTACAAAAACTGGCACAAGAGCAAACTGGCATAAGTGCGAGTTGGTATAAGTGAGCCAAAAGAATTTGGAAACATTGGCATAAGTGCGAAATGTTATAAGTGCGAACTTGCATAAGTGCACGGAATAAAAACGCAACTTATTATACTTTGCACTTGTGCCAGTTTTTGCAACGCCTCACAGTTATGCTTGTTTGCACTTATGCCAGTTTGCGCTTATTAAGCCTCCTGGATTAAAGGAGCGGAATATATTTTTTAAAGGATAAAATTTTTTTATATAAAAGTAAAATAACATAAAAATACCGTACAAATATTTCATTTGCATTGCCACCCTCATCCTCCCACATATGTAATATATTTTTATATTAAAATTAAACAAAATTATGTTGTAAGTTATATTTTTCAAGTTTATTTAAAATTTTTTTTTCAAAAAGTATTAAAAAAACATTAAAAAAAAAGAATATTTTTTAATAATATAACAAACCTACAGGCAGTTTAGAAGCAAATTTCTATATAAAAGGTTACTTTTTATGTGTCCCTTGGACGACAAAGAAAGTTGAGGAAAAGTTCATGTTAAGTGAAAGAAAAGATTATAAAAAAAGATTTATCCTAAAAAATTGTTTATGTCCTTTTGAAATTGATATTAGAAAAGAATTAAATAAATGTGTCAGCTATAGAACAAGTTATTATTATATTAGCACTGAAAGCTTAATATGCTTATACATTTACAAACCTTTGAAAGAGTATATATTTATTCACATAGATAGATTTAAATATCTTACCACAGCTGATTTCAGAATCAAGTACATCTATGATGTTCTTATTTTTCAACCAAAGTGGCGAAGAGCATACAACATTAATTTTATTGTTCAATGGATGTAAATGTATCCAATCACGTAGCCATTTAACTGAACAGCCACACGATAAGGATTGTGTAGAAAGTTCACTAATCATACAAATATACCACATTACAAATAATAATAATATAATTATATACAAAATACAAATTTGTAGTAAAATAATAAAAATTAAATTTTATTTTTTTATTTGATAGTCTGTAAATTATTGAGCAAATAGTTTTAAATGGCTATAAAGCAGTTAGTGATTTATTAACTCCTATAAAGCATTAAAGTGATTGAAATTAAAATAAATATCAAACATTAACATAAATACATAAACTACACATAGAAAGGTTCAGAGTTTAAATATTGCTTTAGTTGCAAAATATAAATGATAACTATTATTCTAATGATCATGCTTTGCGATAATACCATAAGATGTTATTAAAAAAAAAATAGATTTTACTAAAATATTATTTAATGTTACTTTCTTTAAAAGAAAAAAAAAGTTTTCAAGTTTAGAAATAATCTTTGCAATGCGTTTTGAAAATGATCTGGACTTTAAACCAATAATTCATGTATACCAGTTATGAATGTCTTCGATTTAAAATATGATCTGGATTTCACACCAATAGTTCATGTATGTCAAATATCCATGTCTTCTATTTTAAATGTTACAATAAAAAAAAGATTAAAAAAAAAAAAACATCTTACAGCAGTTCAATACTTTTTAGGTTTGTAAAAGCTTCTTCTTCTATGAACATAATGTTGTTGTACTTCAGATATCTATTTTATTCAAAAATATACTTAAACAATGAGAATTAATCAGAAAAAAATATTCTTAACAACAATTGATCAGATAAAAAAATACTCAATAAATATTTATTAGAAAATATTAAAAAATTATAGATCAATTTTTCAATATTTTCTGATAAATTTTTATTGAGTATTTTTTTTGAAAAATTGAAAAATTAAATTTTTTATTATATATATATATATATATATATATATATATATATATATATATATATATATATATATATATATATATATATATATATATATATATATATATATATATATATATATATGTATATATATATATATGTATATATATATATATATATATATATATATATATATGTATATATATATATATATATATATATATATATATATATATATATATATATATATATATATATATATATATATATTTATATATATATATATATTATATATATATATATATACATATATATATATTTATATATATATATATATATATATTATATATATATATATATATATATATATTGATATATATATATATATATATATATATACTATATATATATATATATATATATCTATATATATATATATATATATATATATATATATATATATATATATATATATATATATATATATCTATATATATATATATATATATATATATATATATATATATATATATATATATATATATATATATATATATATATATATATATATATATATATATATATATATATATATATATATATATATATATATATATATATATATATATATATATATATATATATATATATATATATATACAACCCTTGGAATTAGGAAAAATTTGGCAAAAATTTGCCAACCTAAATCTTTTTGAGGTCGGCATCAGGTTGGCAAAAATTATTTGATACAAAGGTCTGACCATAAAACATAGAAACGAGGTCAGCAATTTTTTGCCGACCTCAAGCACTTTCAGGTCAGCAGTTAGGTTGACATTGCCAAATGCCGACCCTAATTCCGAGGGCTATATATATATATATATATATATATATATATATATATATATATATATATATATATATATATATATATATATATATATATATATATATATATGTATATATATATATATATATGTATATATATATATATATATATATATATATATATATATATATTTATATTTATATTTATACATATATATACATATACATATACATATACATATACATATATATATATAATATATATATATATATATATATATATATATATATATATATATATATATATATATATATATATATATATATATATATATATATATTTATATATATTCTTGGTAAACTTCAATTATTACCATAATTTGAAGATAAGAAATCTTTTAAAAATTAAAACAAAAAAACTTTTTCTTTACATTAATATATTGCCTGTCCAAATCAGCGCCTATCCCTGGATAGGTGACATATGTACACTCCAATAGGACTAATAATTTGGTATTTCAAAGAGCTGTTTATGCAACTTATGAATACTTATGAATAAAAGAAAATAATAAATGATAATAAATGAAAATATGAAAACTTATGAATAAAAGAAAATAATAAATTGATAAACTTACAGTGTTTTTAAATTGTTTAATCCTTGAAATGCTGTACTTGGTATTAAGAAAGCACTGTTTTCGCTTAAATCCCTAGAAACAAATTGGAATTAAATCCCTAGAAACATAAATAAATTTTATATTTACTTCTCTTTTATATTAACAATAATTGTTTTCAAAATATTCTTTTTCCTGAAGATTATTTTTATTATTCTTGTTTTTTTCATTTTTTTAAAAAGAAAAAAAATCCAAACTTTTAAAAGTGCAAACTACTGATTTTATTACATTCTATTTAAATAGATTAACAATAACAACAATAACAGATAAAATAACAAAAAATAGATGCTCTATCTTATCTAGATAAGATAACAAAATCTAGATAAGATAAAATAACAAAATCGATAAGATAACAAAAAATAGATGCAAATAGATAGAGCATAGATAAGATAACAAAAAAAGTCTATATAAGCCATATAAAAAAAAGGCAAAAAAACTTTGGCAATTACTGCTAAAATTAGTTAAAAAAATTAGAACAACTAAATTGAATTAAAAAACTTAAAAAAGTTCTAAAAAAACAAAACAAATGAGTTGGTTGTTACTGTACAAATAAAATTTTAAAAATTTATTATTATTATTGATCTTTTATATTATTATTACATTATATTATAGTATCAGCCCTTAGAATTAGGGTTGCTGATTGCTGACCCTAATTCTAAACTAATATAAGATATTCTGAAGCTAACTAAAATCTAATCTAAAATATCTGAGGTTGGCGATTTTTTGCTGACCTCATATCATTGTTATACTTGTGTTAAAAATTTTGTGCCAACCAAAAATAGTTTAAAGTCTGTTATTTTCTAATTTTGAGGACTGCAATATATTATATAATTATGTTATCATTTTTTAACTAATTTACTTCTAACAAGGCTGCAAGCAACCGTAATTTAAATTTGGAGTTTCCAGAAGACAAAGAATATTGTTAAAATGCAAGAATTTCAAAGCATTGATGTACGAGGGAAAAATAGATAAAGGTTTTCAGAGCTAGAAAAGACAGATACAGTAAAAGGACTTCACATGAGATTTTGATAGCTAGAACAACAGTTAATAGCTTGTTTAAACAGCGATCGTGATTTACTTTTAAAATAGAAAAAGAAATGCAACCTTACAGGAAAGAGACTCAAGCTGCCAAAGATTGTGACAAAAGATAACAGGACTCCATGCAGGGATAAATAAAAGATTTATAGAGGTATAGAATGGAATCAGGAATAAAGAAATAGCAAACACAATAAAAAAAGGCAACTTTAGTAGGTTCTAACTTTGCAATCAATTGCATATATTATATACCATTTATTCCATGGAAGGTCATTTGTGAACGATAATTCAGTAAGGGTCTTGCCATTCATCAATATAGGAATACCAATAATATTGGAATAACTGTTGTTAGTATATAACTGAGTTTTGTTTGGGTTAAAATTCACAAGCCACTGTAAGCCCCGGACTGTCACAGAAGAAAGATCACACTCAAGATAAGCTGCCTGTTATAAGCAATCTGAAAGAAGTGACTTTTTGTTGAGAGACTGGATGCATATTAACAAAACTTTTGTAAGTCAAAAATTTGCGTAAGTTTGGCATAAGTTTGACTTAAGTTCTAAACTACCTAATTCCGTATTCACAAAATTTTTATGCTTGCTTACAAAAAAACTTGCGAATAATTTTTTGTAAGTTTAATAGTATTTGCAAAACATTTAAAAAAAATGCTCAGCTTGATTTAAGCAAAAAAAAGTTATGTTAGGTAGGTACTACTTTAACTTTGGCATAATTATTTGCACAGCAAACCTATGTTGATTTATTTGTTATTTGTTTATGTTAAGATTTAATACAAAGTTGTTTAATTTAATTATAACCACTTTATTATGCATAATCTGTTAAAATGTTGCTATTTAAAACATTTTAACAGATTAAAATGTTGTAACTAATAACATTTAATGTCATAAAAACCATTAAAGATGACATAGATACTTTTACTAAAAGGTGTTTAAACAGTTTTTAATTAAAGCATCTATGGCATAGACCATTGGTCTATGCCATCATGTTTTTATGACATTAAATGTTGTTAATTACAACATTTTAATCTGTTAAAATGTTATAATTAATAACATTTTTGTAACATTTAAATGTTGTAATTAACAACAATAATGCAAAATGAAATTGTTATAAATTAAACATTTGATTTATTGTCTCTTGAAGTAGTAACTACATACTCTGTCTATGCATTTTAAGTATTTTTTATAGTAAGTATAAAAAATGACATTATTTATTTGCATGTTCTAAAAATTATGTTAATTTTTATTCTATTATAATAATATGTCTTGCTGTGTTTCTACAAATAAAGGTATGGTAAACTAATGTAATTGTTTTGACAGTCAATCTACAATCTACAATTGTAAAGGTAGATTGAGTGTTCAAATCTAATCTAAATAAAATATTATTTTGTAAACATTTCTATGCAAACTCTGCATCAGGATTTGAAATCAAAATAAAAATACTACTTGTTGCATCAAGACAATTAGAAACAACAATTGTATTAATGGTGATAAAACAATATGTGAATAAAATACTATAAATGTTGACTAATAAAAACTATTTATTGTTTTTGTGTATGTTTCTTTTTTGCTGTTGTTATTTGTTTCTATTCTAGAACAAGCATATTTAATAGATTTATATTCTTAATATTATTCCTCATATGAAACTCAATGAATCTATGTTCGTTAAAATATTAAGTTTAAAAGTTTTATGGTTTTATTTATCTATAAACATATTTATAATGTATTAACTTAAAGAGTTAAGTTCCAAAAACTATATATTTATTTTCTATATATATATCTATTTATATTTAATGTCAGTTATATTTTATGTTCAATTATTAGTTTTAGCATAAACCATTAAGAAGAAATTTTTAAAAAACATAAGTCAAGAAGTTTATAGTTGTATCAAAATTTTGTAATGTTATCAAGTATTATAGTAAAAATCTTTAATATATAATAACTTTATTTAAAGATAATAAAAAAACTTTGTGCTGCTAACTTTTTCTGAATCAAACATTTTTGATTGTATGCTTAACATTTGTTTATTAAGGATTTATGGAATACTATTTACATTTTATTTAATACTCTAATATTATTTAGTTAAAGTGAATATTCCAATAATATATGATGATTTTTCACCACTGACAGCAAGAATAACCCAATATATTTAGAAACAAAAGTGCTGATATCACTCAGACTCTTAGCAACAGTAATTGGCAAGAAATTAATTTTAGGTGTTTTGAAACATAATACAGTTTTGAAATTTTTAATTAAATTTTTAATGGCTTTTATTATTAAAAATTGTATGTACAGAGAGAAATTTATTTTATCCAATTATGGTATTTTATTTGGTTTGAGTCAAAAAGGCACTAATCATGTTTTTTTTTTTTTAATATAGATAACATACTAATAAGGTTTGTTTTTGGCTAACATTTAATTTCATATAATTGTAGGTGATACCCCAGGAATTACCCAGTCCAGCACAAGTCAGTTACTAAGTAAATTTTGTAAGTGTTTTATTCAAAGTTATCATCACTTTGTTAAGTGGTATGATAGCGAGCAGAAAATGACCGAAGTAAAAAGAAAGTAACAGCAATCATGGGGCATTAAAGGGCTTCTTGTACTAATTGATGGTTCGATATAATGATTTAAATTGATCAATTTGTATAATGATTTAAATTGATCAATTAAATGTATAAGTAATTTTTAACTGTGTTACAACATTACAACAGTCAAAACTTTTAATGTAACTGATACTTACAATATCTCTAAATGTTTAAGATGTAGGAACACAGTATCCATTTCTTTATCTCCAATAGAAATATAGTTAGAGCTTAAGTTAAGAACTTTCAGTTGATCAAGTCTACTGAACGCAAATTCTGATATGTAGCTAATAGTATTGTGATCTAAATAACTAAAAATAAAAAGATAATGGGAGTGATGAAGCATAAAATATTTATAAAATAGATTATAATGACAAACCTATACATAAATGAGTTGAGACTTTTAACTGACTTTTATTATAACTAAATGCTATAATATAAGTCAGTTTAATTATATAATGTATATAATAATTAATCTTAATGGCATTTTAGTCTAGCATAATGCACCAGAAAAATGCTTAATTTCTCATTTCATTTCATGATAAAACATTTGTTGGTTATTTCCCTTGAAATTTATGTTGAATAGCATGAAGAAAGAAATTTATTATGAATAACAAAAATAAGTAATATGAGAAATTAGTTATTTAACAAATTTAACTTCACAAATATCAAATAAAATTTAACGATAAATTTATAAGATTTTACCATGCACACAATTTTTTCCAGTAAACAAAAAAACTGCAATTACTACACGCAATATTTAATATTGCAGTAAACAAAAAAAGACTCACAGGTAACATAATTTCTGTAATTCTTGAAACAATCCAGAGTCAAGAAACTTTAATGAATTTCCTGATAAATCGCTACAAATTAAAAATAAAAAAAATTAAATTAAGAATTTATTTTAAACTTTTTATTATCAAATAATCAATTTTATAATGAACACAAATATTTAAAAATAATTTTTTTTTTCAAAGAAACTTTTACTAAAAGTTTTTTTTTACTCACATTAACATGACTTCAGGCGTAAATAAAAATGAGCCAGTCTCAATGTAGTTTATAATATTGTTGTTTAAATATCTAAAAAATATATTTTTTTTGTTAAAAGAAAAACAACTATTGATATTATATCATATACCAGACTTTTTATTAGCAATATAAAAAAACTAGTAGGTAAGATTTTTAAAATTAAAATTTTTTTTTTTTTGCAACTCACAACTCTGAAAGACAAACCTTGTTAAAGAAAGCTGTTGCAAAAAGAAACCGGTTTATTGTGGTTCTGACCTCAAACCTCTTGATTGTAAGTGATCTACCATTAATCTACTACAGAATTGTTCTGTAAACAACTGAATTAACTACATAAAACCTTAATTCACTATGAAAAAGATGCAAGATAATTAAATTGCAATTTTTGGATGTTTTTTTTTTAAAAGTGTACATTGTTTTTTACATTATGTGCAGGTCTTTTAAATAACTTTTTCAGTTTTTTTCTCTCTTTTTATAAAACTGATAAAAATAGGTTGTTTAATTAAATGAACATAAAAAACTAACAATACATGGCTTGGACTTGATAAGAACGTAATTTTTTTTCTATATATTTTCTTCAAACTTTTTTTTCTATTTTAAAAAAACTTCCACAAAAAATTATATACACTAAAATCAAATTATATTAATTTAAAAAAAAATACATCTTTGATAAATATTATTAATAGTCCTAATAAAAAATATTTTAAATTACCACTTATTGGATTTTACTAAAATTTCACAAAAACTAAAAGTGATATTGTCAAAATACAATAATTAAATTTATATTCTCAACTAATAGATAAGAAGGTTTTTTATGCTGGTTGTCAGTTTATTAAAAATCTAACTATGATTGATTTTCTATGCTGATTCTACCAAAAAAAAATGAAAATAAAAACAGAATTCAATAGAAAAAACCTTCTTTAAATATACAATTATTTTATAATTGAATTATTCATTATATAAATTTATCAAACTATTTTACTTTAACATTATTATTTTGCTATTTAATGTATCATAATTTGTAATATAATTTTAATCGTTTGTAACAAATTTATTTTATCAATGTGATAAAATAAATTTTATCACATAATTTTTTTGCAAATGCATAATGTAATTGCTAAACAACAATTAAAAATATTGAACTTTTTTTAAAAATATATTCACATATAATAACACTCAATAACACCCCTTTCCTATAGAAACAAAATAACACTCAATAGCACTCCTATTCTATAGAAACAAAATAACACTCAATAACACTCCTATCCTATAAAAAAAATAACACTCAATAACACTCCTATCCTATAGAAAAAAAAATAACACTCAATAGCACTCCTATTCTATAAGAAACAAATAAACACTCAAATAACACTCCTACCCTATAGAAACAAAATAACACGCAATAACACTCCTATCCTATGAAATCAGAATGCAAAACAAAACACTCATTACTTTTAAACTTAAAACAGATTAGTTTTTTTTGATTTAGAATATGTTGCAGAAAAAGCAGAACTCCTGATTTTAGTAAAATTTATTCATTTTAAAGAAGGTTTTTCGGTTGAAAAACGACTGCTCTAGAAATATGTCATAATAATAAATCTAATGTTAATTCTAATTAAATAAAATATCTTGAAATTTATTGTAAATACTTATATTTAATTAATTGATAACTTCTTTAAGATTTTAAAAACATTCTAAAAAATGTTGGAAAAAAAAAAAAAAAAAGAACTTACAGATTTCTTAGATTAGATTCATCTATAAACCATGATCTAGTTAAAGATCTTAATTGATTGTGATCTAAAAACCTAAACAAACATGAAAACAATTGAAAAATTGTTTCAGTTTTTATTTGATAATAATAGATTTTTAGTTTTTAAATTTTAAATATCAATTGTTTTTTTCAAGATGATAAAAATAATACAAAAATTAAAAAATATATATATAACAACATATAATAAAATATATTAACAACATTAAATAATAATTTACTAACTTTTATAATTTATTTATAAAAAGTTTATATTCAAAAATAATAATAAAAATCTTACAGCTGTTCTAAAACTTTAAGATTTAAAAAAGTAACTGCTGTGATCTCCTTAAAAAGGTTGTATGATAGAATTCTAAAATTAAACAAATCAGTTATATTAACAAAGAAATATCAATTTAAGCACCATCAATTTAATAAATAAATAAAACCACAATACAGTTAATAAATAAATAAAACCACAATCAATTTAAGCACCATCAATTAAAGTCATTTGAATGAGCTCTTACTTAATGATACCTCATAACATTTGTATTTATGATATCAAGTAATAATGTAAAATTTAAAAAATACTCTATAAAAAAGTTAGATGTTGTTAATCAAAACAATTTTGAAAAATTGTTGCTATCGACTACTTACAATGTTTTTAGTGTCCTGAACCTCTGCCAATACATTCTTACGTGGTGAATTTTGTTATGGCTCAAATCTCTAAAAAAAAAAAAAAAATTATAACTTGTTAATAAGTACAAACATAAAGTTATTTAATTTAAAAATAGGATTTAACTAAAATGCAAAAGCACAAAAAAACATAAAAATTTCAAAAAGAATGAAAACTATAAGAGATAATCAAAATAAAAAAGCACATTGTATGAAGCCTTAATTGTTTCATCTGTTCATTTTTATTTGTAGCTGCACTCAGCTCTTCAAGTTCATTATAACTAATGTTTCTAAAAAAATAAACTTTATAATCAACAAAAATATAAAAAATTAAAAAAAAAAAACTCAGCAACAACTACTATAAAAATTTTTTTTTTCCCATTCGTTGAAATGTGTGTCAACAAGTGTTCTCATTAATATACACAACTTAAACCCTTTAATTAGGTATTTTAGACCATGGGTCCTCATATTTTCTTTAAACTTCTTTGGGTATTGCATGGTACAAAAAAAAAGTTTAAACAGAAAATATTAGTCCAAAATGTTGAATGGATTCTAAAGATATTGCAATTATATTTACTTGGTTTCCTAAAACAAACCAGTTTTCATAGCATTAAAAAATATATTTTCCTTAATAAAATTAAAAATAACAAGAGGAGAAATAGAAAAACAAATATTTTTTTTTATTTTGATGCAGAGCTAAAAAAATGCACTTAAAATGTTAAAATATAAAGAGAACATATTTTTAAAATGCACTTAAAATGTTGAAATATAAAGAGAACATATTTAAAAATGCACTTAAAATGTTGAAATATAAAGAGAACATATTTAAAAATGCACTTAAAATGTTGAAATATAAAGAGAACATATTTAAAAATGCACTTAAAATGTTGAAATATAAAGAGAACGTATTTAAAAATGCACTTAAAATGTTGAAATATAAAGAGAACATATTTAAAAACTAAAAAAACTAATTTATATAACTCAACTTTAAAATTTAATATCTCAAAACAAAACCCCTTTGAATTTTTTAATGTTTTTATTTAAAATCTTATAATTATCACAAAAATTCAAACTGGAAAAACAACAGAAACATACAGAACTATTATTTCAAAGATACACCATATTTTTCATTAAATTACAACAAAAAAAAAACAAAAAAAAAAAAAAAAAAACAGCAAATACAATTCAATTACTTAATTTGGTTAAGATTCTTTAAATAAAGAAAAAAACAACTATATTATATTTAAAGAAGTCTTACATTAAGTTAAATTTGACAAATATCTTAACAACTGAAAAACACATTTTGCTTTATTTTTATATAAAAACAATGTGTATTTGTAATACAGTTTAGTTAAAGAAAAACTTTACAATTTTATGTGTAAGACATTCTACAAATTATTTGGAAATGTATCCTTTATATCCTTGTTGGGATCCATTCAATGCATACACACAAAAAAATCACTACCAAGTAGCAACAAAATTTAATTATTTTATTATTATAATTTTTTAACTTGCATTTTGTAAAACATAACAAATTATAGTTTTATACAAATGTACAGATATTTTTACAGACACCTTTATAATTCAATTACTACATATAAATTTTCAGTCATTTTATTTCATTATTTTTAGAAAACCTTGATGTAGTTACAGTAAAAGAGGCACAAGTCACCATTAGAGTAGTTTGAATATTGCTCATGGGAAGAAACTCTGGAAACAAATGATTGCCAAATGAGAAAATCTTACAGAAAAAGAACAAAGTCAGGGTTAACAAAATGATAATTTTGCAATATCATCATTCAAAGTAATGTCAGGAAATCAAAAAAAAAAAACTTTCCAAAAAGTATTAAAATTTTCTTCACTTATACCAAAGTGATGCATATTGCTGAGTACAAGTGGTACACATCCTGTTTGTACTTGTTCAAAGGGATCAATCAAGCATTTATAATTATTGTTGACTTTGCAGAAAATTATCCTTTTGTAATTCAAGATGAATTACAGAGCTATCACTGAAACACAACAATATTTTTTACTTTAGTGAAATATTATAAAGATGATGAAGATATACTAAAACATACCATATGATGCAGGGGTGTAACGCCATGGTCATCTGGCATCTGTGGAAAAACTAGCTTTTGCAAAATGCAACTAAAATTTAAATATTAATCAGACACCCTGCAAGGAAACCACACTAGTATTTTTATTTTTTTACTCTTTTGGAAGTTATTACTTACAAAAGAGTGTTTTGTAATACTATTATAATAATACTATTTTAGTGAGTGTGATCATTTAAAAGAAACCTTTAAAAAGTATTTAAAGTAGTTCAACTTTGCAATAATTTTTGAACGTCATAAAAGGAAACCCATTTTAATCAAATTAGATATGCACGCAGTCAAAATGTTTCAACTATATATTTCAAATCTGCAACTTTAATGTTTTTTAAAAACGTTTCAATTTATAATGCATATGTATCTTTTTTTTAAAGGCCATGGTCATATTTTGAATCAGGTGAATGTACACGTGAACGATTAATGTTTAACCTTTTTTTGTCATAGTAAAATAAATTTTTAATATAATAACTTTGTCAAACAAAAAGTTTAATATTGTTAATTATGCATGAGGAAAGTTTTTTTAATAAAATAGTTTTTACTTTTAAAATGAAAAAGAATCTTAAATTAAAAACATTTTAAAACTAATTAAAGATTAAGCGATAGTAATCTATTTTTCTTTTTATAAAAATTTTTCTGATGACTTTTAAGTTTAACTGCTCCGAATAAAGGGAAAGGAAACTTCTGTTATGATTTACAAAAATAAACAAAACGAAACAGATATAGACTACAACAAAAATAAACAAATTCATTTTTTTAATAAATTATTTGTTATTTATTTATTATTTATTATTTTATTAACAGTTGCTTATTAATTGTGTTTTGATAGTGTGGTACTTTATTTAATTTTTTCAGACAAAATTGAAACCAGACAAAACTTTTTCAGACCAGACAAACCACTGATGATAAGTGGTGAATCGGTATCAAAACTAATAACAATCTAGAAGAAGATAATACTGAAACTATGTTCCTTCACCCAAAAAGTTAGTCAGCATATTTAAACTGACTTTAAAGTCATGAATATGGTTTTAATTCAACAAATCTTTTAAAAAATTTGTCTGTTTCACAAACTTGCTCTAGTTCCAGTAGAAACTATATATTAAAAAAAAAATGGATGAATAAAAGAAGTACAAGCAAAATGGCAACAATATTGTAAATTATTACAACTACAATCAAAATAAATTGCATCTTCAATACTTTAAAAATACTGTAATTTTTATGTAACTTTATAAATTACAAATGATTTATTATTATTGAATTAGGAAATATTTTTTCGTTATTCTTTGAAAATATGTAATATATTTGAAATTATATTTCTATATGTTTATGATGTTTTTCCAGCTGGATTTTTTGTCACAAGTAAGATTGCAAGTTACTAATAATTTTGAAAACCAAAAAAATACAAATTTATATAGGAGTGTTTCTTATATATCTCAAAATTGGGATATATAAACTAGTTATTTTCCTATTTTTAAAGTATGTTCCCTTTATATTTAAGCATTTTAAGTGCATTTTGAATGCATAAAAAAACATTATAAAGGCTTATTTACATTTTTTTAAAAAAGGAATCCTGAAGTGCCAAGAAAAGTTGCGTTTATATTATAGAAAATGTTTGAAAAAAAATTTGGGCTAAATTTTTTTGATCAAAACTAAATAATAAATGCATATCAATAAAATAAATATTGAAATTTTATTAAAAGCTTGTCTTTTCAATTTTATTTGGTTCTCGGAGTCTTCATAATATACGCCGCAATCTGAAGACTGAATAATTCATTTCATGAGCTTTAAAGGTTATATTAGTATAGTGCACAAGATGTCATAATGCTCTAATTTCAAAGTGCAACTGTCTAGGTTGTGGGTTCAAATCCTCCATCGGAAACTACTTTATCTAATTTTAAATGTTTTATTCAAAGTAGTTTTATGTTTTTTTAAACTAATATTGTTGTTTATTTACAGTTACATAACATTATATTGTTGCAAATAATAATTAAAAAATATGACAAAACCTTTTCACTTTAAAAATAAAAAGTAGATAAAATAAATACAAATTTAGAAAATAAATTTGATATAATATATTCTTACACAGACAAATAATATATATTTTGTTAAGATGTAAAAGTATGCTAACTTTTTAATATAAAAATCTAGATAAAGATTATACTTACAATTGTTAAAAATAATTTGCGCTACTGAATTTTTAAAACCAAATGTATTTAGTTTTTAATTGTATCACAAAAATTTTTTTTAGAATTTAGAAAAAAATTATACAAATAAATTTGATTTGCTGATTGTGGAAATAAAAAAACTTTGATATCTTATAAAAAATAAAAATTCATAATGACATCATATACTGAAGCTGTTATAAATTATTCTAGTCTGCAGATTGTGGCATATATTATCAAGACTCTGAGAACCAAGAAAAAATGGAAAAGGTGAGCTTCGAATGTAACAACAATTTTTGTTTAATTAATATGCATTTATTTTTTAGTTTTAATCAAAAAAAAATTCAGTCAAAACATTTTTTGTCAACATTTTTTTTAGTATGAACACAACTTGTCTCAGCACTTGGAGATCCCTTAAAGGAAAACAATTTTTTTTTATCATGAAAACCAGGTCATTTCAAGAAACTAAAATTGTAATATCTTTGGAACCATTTAACATTTTAGGCTCAAACTTTGCATGCAATATTTTTATAAATAAAGAGTATGTATCAAAAAAAAAAAAAAAAGGTAAGACACATGGTTCAATGAACTGGGCAATTTAATGAGAAACTTCCCATTTAATGCACACAAAATGTGTCTATGACTTTAAAATCAGACAGAAATTAAAGGTAAACATCTCATAATATAGATAAACATTAAAATCTTTTGTAAGCGTAACATCTATATACAAAATTTTTGAAATAAAATACTTAAAACAAAGTTAATGTACTTACAAAACTTCTAAATTCAATAGATCATCAAAAAAGCTCAAGGGAAGACTTTTTATATGATTGCGACTTAAATCACTAAAAAAAAAAAAAATTAAAAAAAGTATTGAATTTTGATTAATAACCCACAAAACTCATCAAAATCTGTGAGCTATGTATGTTAAAGAGCATTATTAATACTAGATCATGGAGACATGAGGCAAGACTATATGTGATATTGTAGGCCATTTTAGTTTTACTAATAATTATTTTTTAAACTATCAGGAAACATTGACATTATACCTATACTACTTAAAAAATATTTTTCCGCAAAAGCACTGCTTTTGATATTTTAATTTTTTTGTTTGTTTGTTTGTTTAGTTATAATTGATTTTATCAAAAACTTTATTCAACATCTTATAAAGAGTTTATTTTTTTATAATTAAAAAAAAACTTAACTTATGATATAACTGTATTATTGTTTTTTTTGCTTGAATTTAAACTTATTTGATGCTTGAAGCAATACAATTTTTTTCCTTGAATTTAAGTTAAATTATTGCTTGAAGTAATGTCTTTGTTTATGTTTATAAGTTTTATTTTGTAAAAAATAATAGTTTAAAAAATAATAATAGAAAAATAATGTTTTATAAAAGTCACATCAGCTCTAATAGATATAATTAATAGATTGTGCGGTATCAAAGTGTTAACAGAAATTTTCTTTATAATTTAGAATGAATTTTGATTAAAAAAGTTATTTAAATTAAAAAAATTAGATTTATTCTTTCTCGGTTTTTCTTCCTTCTTTCTATTTTTTACAAAAAATTTCTTGTAAACATGTTATAACTTATAACACTGCATCAAAAATATTCATAAAGCGTATGTTTAACTTTTTTGCCTTAAGGCAAGTGAAAGCACAACGGTATAAATTTTTTAATAAATCAAGCCTTCCCAGGAAAGACGTTGTTGCAATTTTAAGAAATAATAATAAAGGTGTTTTAATTCATTTTTACAAATGTCGAAAAAAGAAAGAAACTAATTTATGTTAAATGATAATAAAAAATTTAATATTAAATTCAATTATTTAATATTAAAAAAAAAAAAAAAGAAAGAAACAAAATAGACATTCCACAATATGTGCATTTAGAAATTAACACTTCTACATTTTTTATTCTTAGTAAGTAAAATAAACTTATTATGTGACAATTTATTTTATTGCAGTTGTTTAAAAAAGTTAATGTCCTTCAATCAAAAAATAAAGATAATTTTATAATGTCAAAACCATGACGAGCTAATGTGCGAAGCCGTTTTTATTTAAAATAAAGCTTGATATATATATATATATATATATATATATATATATATATATATATATATATATATATATATATATATATATATATATATATAAACACACATAATTAGTATTGTACATTTTGCAATCTGACTCCATATTGAATCAAGTAGAAATATATATACACTGCCTGCTTGTTCTACCTAATTAATTCAGTTGATGTCTGTACACTCATTGCAAGTTTTACTTATCTAAATCAGTAAATAGGTACAACATGCAGGGAATGTACATACATAGACTAAATTAAACAGATAGAAAATGCAAGGAGAGAGCCACTACATTAACTGAGGGTTTTGCCTTAGACAGGTAATGTATTAACTTTTTACAACTTTTTAAACTTTTTCCGGTTTTCTATATTAATATTTAAAAAAACAAACATAGTATTTACATTTTATAGCAAAAATTAAAAACAAACTAAGCAATGGTATATACAGACTGAGGGTTTGGCATAGAGCAGCAATCTTTTTTTTTTACTGCTAATATAAGAGTATTGGTAAATTTTATATTAGTAATATAACAAATATAACTGTTGAAAATACCTTATTGTAAGATATGAATTTTTACTTTAGTAAAAATATAGTATAGTTTACTTACAGTATTGTAGTATTTGGACTGATAAATTTTGGCAATACTGATATATTTCTATTTGAACAGTCAATAGTAGTATTATAACATGAACATAATTCATAACACATTACGAAATAATTTGGACTTTCAAAATCAGGTGTAGCAGTAACTAGTGCATAATTAACAAAAAACACCATAATTTTCGTAATAATAAAACTACATATAGCACTGTTCATATTGCAATAATAATGCCAAGCTAACAGCAATTAGATCGACCATGAAATTAAAATAAAAAACAGCAAGGTTTTAATTAATAACACATGACACTTTTGTACCACAACTTTAACGATCAATATAAAACTATGTCCTTTTTATTATGTAACGTTTTGAAAACTCGAGTACACAGTTTATTCAAATATTATTGACGAATAATCTGAACAATTCCTAATAGCAATATCTGCCCATATAGCTAACATTAAAGTTAGCTTAGTACATCGTGCTTTCGGCGAACTGCATTTAGATATAAAAAAACTTTCGATAAATTTTTTTTAAATATTTTTCTAGCAATAATAAAAACAGTCGCGCTATAAATGCTTTGGTTTCACAAAACTACCCTAAGAATGTTTTTATAGAAACATTTCGACAATACGCTGCGAGAGTTCCTGTTTCCTTCACAACCATTTTCACATCGACAAAAGTTGTTTAAAAATAGCTCCCCTCGAGCTTTAAAACCGTAAATTAAGAGTTATTTTTATTCGGAAAAAAAACATCTTTCGTCATAAATTGCCAACTCTGTTCTTTTCCGTAACTAAAAGATTCATGCCGCGGTTTATAACTTATTGATGTTAAGACTAAAACCGCTAATTAATTGCATTTCTATCTATAAGTAATCATTATTCAACTGCCATTGTTATTCATTTTTGATAAAAAAAGCTAATTTTTTGTCGAAAATGTTTATTTTATTTCTTCGCTTAAATTATTGTAATTTGTTACGTTTTTTATAAGGTGACATATCGGGATTATACGCGGGGCATTTGAGGCATTCTAGAGGGTTTATGCATTATTTAAGATCCTTTTCATTATTTGCGGTCCCAAAAGGCATCTAAATATTTTCAAGTAACATAATTCTAAAATTATCAATTATTAATTTAGATTTTTCGAGATTTTTTTGGGGCATGTCAAGTCTTGATGCCCTTTTTTTATGTGTTTATAAGGTGTTCTAAGAAGTTCTTACAGATTTATCATAGAACACTACGGAAGAGCATTTAGCTAGGAAGTTCACGCTTTCTTCGTTAGTGATGTCGCTTTCTGGTCAGAGCCGGCATCAAACCTTAGACCTCTTGTTTCTAAGCCAGAATTTTAATCACCCCTGCACTTAATCACCTTGCACACATAAATACATATTTTTATTTATTATTATTATTTTTTTATTATTATTTAGGTGCCCCAAGAAGACCTAACGGTCTTGTCACAAAGCACCGCGGAATGGCATTTAACCAGGAATTTCACGCCTCCTTCCTTACCGTGATGCGAAAATATGTTCTGAGCTTGTTTCAAACCTGGATCTCCAGCTTATAAAGCAAGCGTTGTAACCATTGCGCGACGGCCGCGTAATACGTACATACATACATACATACATACATACATACATACATACATACATACATACATACATACATACATACATACATACATACATACATACATACATACATACATACATACATACATACATACATACATACATACATACATACATACATACATACATACATACATACATACAATAAGGTTTGCAAGGAGATGCTACCTATTTGACAACTGCAGTAATTTTTAAATCTAATTGGAGTTTTCTTATCTCTTATGTTACTCTTAAAAAAAATACTAATGAACGCGTAACAACTACATTTATATTTAGTTACATTTAATTACAAATTAGTCTTACTTTAATCCAATTCGTTAGGGAGTAATTTAAAAGTAATAATTAGAATTATAAAAGTTTTATTTTTTTTAGCTATGTATAGTATTTAAAACTTTTTATTATCTCAAAAGTTTCTCAAAAGCTCATCTCAAAAGCTTTTTGATAATGGAACATGGATTTTTGGTTATTAGGTATTAAAAAAAAAATTATTTACTTAAATTAAATTATAACCAAACCTATACTTAAAATCTGTTGTAATAAATTCAATAAGATTATTGAATTTCAAACGATTGGATTATAAAGGAAATAATCCTATATCATGAAATAAAAGTATAACCGAGACTTAACGGAAGCAATTAAAATAGTTCGTCCCCTTTAAAAAACTTTTCATCCTGTAATAGTTGTTTGATAGTTGCATACTTTTAAACAATATTTTTGAAATAAAGTGGCTAGCAAGAAAAGTATTTAAAAAGTGTTATTATTGTTTGTTTGTTTTTAAATTTGAATTAAAAATTTCATAAGTCTGTTTATTTTACATTTTTGCAATTTTAATGGTTTTAAAAACGTTTAAAAAAAATTTATACTAAAGATTTTTGTTTTTGCTAAAAATTGTTTTATACTGTTTTATCATTAATTTCATTATTACCATCATCATTGTTATTGTTATTATTACTATTATTATTACTACTACTTTTGTTTATGTTTTTTGCATTAAAGTAATGAATTTATCGAATTAATTATTTAATACGACGTGTTAAATAATTCAGTAGATAAATATATAAATAATTATAAATACCACGAATGTTTTGAATGAGTTCTTTGCACGATAAAGATAAAAAATAAGGAAATCAAGAAAAAAAATTTTTTACTTAATGATATAAGTAAAAAAAAAAAAAAAAAAAAAAGATTCTAATTTGGTATGAAACACTAAATTAAAAATTTTTTGTTGCTGTTGTTTTAAAAAGCGATTTACTTTAATTGCTTATCTTCAGCGTTTTCACCAGCGCGATGACAATTTTTATTATGTTATCTTAAAAAAGGCTTTATGGTGTATTATTTAACTATTTGTTACTGTTATTGTCATTATATATATATATATATATATATATATATATATATATATATATATATATATATATATATATATATATATATATATATATATATATATATATATATATATATATATATATATATATATATATATATATCCAGCAGGCACAAAGACGTTGAAATAACGTTGAAACAACATCGCAAGCCGACCTTATGCCGCGTTGAAACAACGTTGAAATTTGGTGGAATTAGAAATAAAATCCGACGTTGAAAACTACGACGTTGAAACAACGTCGATGATTACGTTGTTTCAACGTTGTTCTAACGTCTAATCGACTGCATATCAACTTTGAATAGGTTATATATTCGGTTGATACGTAGTCGATAAGACGTTAGAACAACGTTGAAACAACGTAAATTCAACGTTGATTTTTGTTTTTTATTTTGGTTAAACTCAATTAACTAAAAAATTATCTCAACATTAATTGCAATAAAATAATAAAATAAAAAGGCAATAATTTGAGCAAAGAATATTATATTTCAAGTAAATTAATCAAGTAAATTAATCAGATACAACTAAATTACTTCAAGGGACTTTATACACAATGCAAAAAGAGTAAAATGTTTTTTTTAAAAAAAGTTTTATTTAACAATAGTTGCAGAACAATTAGGAAAAAGTGTTATACATCTAGTGAATCGTCTTTTACGCACCCACCACCATCATTCGATCTGTCGAGTGCGTATTTTAATAAAGTCATTATTCCTTTTCTTATTTCAACAACTGTAGTAGTCGCTTTAATTGACATGTAGCTCTCTATAAAAAAAAGTATTGTCTGAGTAATTTGCATAAAATACATAAAAAAATAAATATAAAACAGCATCAAAGCAACGAACTCTGATTTTAAAAATATATAGTTTTACCCTTGACTTACCAGTAACAACCTTACAAATGTTTGTTCCTTCAAACATTTCTTTATTCTTACCGCCAGCCATATTAAATTTTGATTATAAACCATTGGTCAACAACCTGTATTAAACATTGTTATTATTATAATAGTTATATTAAAAATTGATACATTATATATATATATATATATATATATATATATTATATATATATATATATATATATATATATATATATATATATATATATATATGTATACATATATATATATATATATATATATATATATATATATACATATATATATATATATATATATATATATATATATATATATATATATATATATATATATATATATATAAATATATATATATATATAAATATATATATATATATATATATATATATATATATATATATATATATAAAATTCTAAAAAAAACTTACTTAAGAAACTGTAGGAAAAATTCAAGCAAAGCTTACTTGAAATCCACACTCATGAAATATTACCGTCATAAAAAAATATCCATTTAATATTTATCTAACTAACTGCATCCTAAGTTCAACCATGTGATATTTTTAAATTGTGAAATTTAACAATATTACATTAACTTATTAGAAAGGCAACATAAAGCCTTATAAATAACTAGTAAAGTCACGCATGCGTATTTGAGTTCTCAAAATGCAATACGAACGTAATATAGACGTTGAATTAACGTGGAATCCACGTTGATAGTTTTAAAACAAATTTTCAACGTTGATACAAAGTTGGATTTTGGTTATGCGACGTCGCGACTAAAAATTAACCGTAAATCAACATCGAAATAACGTCGTGTGCCCACTGGGTATATATATATATATATATATATATATATATATATATATATATATATATATATATATATATATATATATATATATATATATATATATATATATATATATATATATATATATATATATATATATATATATATATATATATATATATATATATATATATATTGCATTTTAAATTTTAATCAGCGTTTTCCTTTACTTTTATTTCTTATTTGAAGAATTTTGAAATTTACCAGCCAACGCAAGCCTCAGCCAATCACAGAAAAGAGATCGTATTCTAAATCGATTGCTTATTCTAAACAATCAAATCTTTTTATTAAAACTGCATTATTAGTTACATTTGCAAATAAAAAATTGCGATTGTCAGAAAATTTTCAATACAAATAATCAGCGATATGTATCTATATTGAATTTTTAAGCTACATCTTATTTATTTCTAACTTTTTAGACAATATTAGTTATTTTTACTTCTTAATTTGTGTCTTGTTTCTGACCCAAGATTGTACTCAATTTTAGCCCCCCAACCTTTAGGTAGCTCTGGCTATGTTTCAATCTCACTAAAACTTCTTCTTCTGATTTTTCCTCATTAACTGCTGCTATATTCTATAAAACTATCTAAAAGCTAACTTTTATCTGTAATTTTTTTTTGTGATGGTACTTAGGTTAATATCTTCCGTTTCTCTGCTTACAAATGTGTTACGCTGCTTACAAATGAGGTACATTTGTCAATTTAAAAAAATCTTAAAAGCTTGTTGTTTTATTTATTATAACTTAAGTATAACCTCTCTCTACATTGTTTTTGCTTTTATTCGCGGCTGTAATTTTCAACTTTAACAATTTTTCCACCTTTTTCATTAAGTGAATTCTCCTGAGAAGCGTACTGTTATGTACGTTTTTAAGAAAACTTCTTATACTTTATCTAGAGTTCAACATTTCTCTTGTTCTTGCCTAGTCTTTTCCGATCTACCGTCCTGCTACTGATTTGT